CATGATCCTCCGATACATAGTGGCTCACAGAACTCACGAAACCAACCAGAAGTCAGGACTCGTCCTGCACCGGATGTTCCCACCCAGGCAACGATGCCACACTCGGCACTAGAACCTCACAGAATTCGTGGATCAATGCAGAGACCGTGTGCAAGCACCTATCGGATCGTTCCACTCCGGCCAGCCTCGTCCCCGGAAGCAGGAACTGCATCCTGCGAGCGCTCACGGCTTCTAGTTAAACTTCTGCCGACAATTCAACGCCCCTCCTGTGCCGGCTGCCCTGTCTGGGCCATCCTGGACCCCTGCCATCAGCGAATCAGGGACCCATTAGCTTCAATCCCACACGGCAAAATTTTAGCCCAGCCTATCTTCATCCCCACTTTTGGGCCCTGTCACAGTGCCCAATAGTCTAGCGAGATCTAGCGGTGGGCCCTGTCACAGTGCCCCTCGATGCAATCAGTTTCAATCTCAGGGTGAGCATGGGCCCTATCACAGTGCCCAGCTCCGATGATCCCCAAAAGTTCCCAAAACCCCCAAACCCTGGAACCCTTTACCACACGGGCCCTCTCACAGTGCCCGTGCGCCTCGACGTGGGCCCTCTCACAGTGCCCACTTCGAACAACGAGGATCCTATGCCTATGCTATGCCTAGCGATGGGCCCTCTCACAGTGCCCATCGATTAAACCCTGCGCAAAACACTGCAAGCCGCTGACCTGCTGCGGCACGCCATCTGCGGCCTGGGCGGATGCATCGCGACAGCCCTAGCACACGATCCTGCAATGCACACCTAATCACAACTCTTCCAAACCATACACCCCAAAAACCAGCACCAAAATAAAATCCCGTCGAGCCTGCACCCTCGGAGTGCCGTCGATCATGAAGAACTCGTCCCAGTACGGAGCAGCCTAGCACAAGGGTAGCCAGAAAAGGAACCTAAGGGAATACCAACCACCCACACCCTCCTGCCTCGATCCCCTCCTTCAAAGCGTACTCGCATGCCGAGCTCCAGGAGCGGAAGGTCTTCTGCTTCGCCACCGCCACATAGGCAACTCGGCCAGGATTTGGGAGTCGGCTCTCTCTTCTTCTCTCTCTTTCTCTCTCTCTCTCTCTCTCTCTCTCTCTCTCTTCCGACGAGAGGCAGATGGCATTGCCAGCTTGTGGCCCGCTTTTGCGGTGGCTGGCCACTGTCACACGCCAGCTCATGCCGTGCTAATAAATCGGTATGATTAGGTACACTCCTCGATTTGTGTGTGTGTTGTGCTAGCGCAGGAGGCTTGCTGATCTTCAGTGCTTCTCTACTGCCGCTCTTGCATGCACCGGGTGCCTTATCGGAGCCAAAGGCCACATTATGAGGAGGTGTCTGCACATGCCCTCATACATGTAATAGCATGTAATCTCACACATGTCACGGTATGTAATAGACCCATACAAAACAACCTATACCTGCCACCTATTTTTGGTTAGGGTGGTCACCCTTCCGAAATAGGTGGCGCCACCTATTTTTAATCGGTGACGCCATACCCCACCCCCCCTAGCATCCACCTATTATTAGGGGGGGGGAGTTTCTATCTCTTGCCGCGGAAAAGCGCTGCTACAACCACATTTCTCACCTCCTCCTGCTGCTACGTCCTGCTGCTCCGACGGCCACCTTCAACAGTCGGCTACTCTCACAACTACGACGACGACGCCTGCTAATGCAATGTAGTACTACTCCGACGACGACGACAGCAGCTGTGGCGAAGATGCACGATGGCATTCCGAGTGTAGGCCCTCATGTGAAAAGGCTTTGTTGTGAAAAGGAGTCGGTGGGAGCATCATCATAAGGCCCTAGCTTCTTCGTTCTCCCAGGCTAACGAACTGCCTGCTCGGAGACATCATCTGTTGCATGATGTACGGAAGCTCCTAAAAATCATCGGACCGACCTCTCGGAGCTGATTCAAAGCTTGTCTGGTGCACTACTCAAGGCTGCGCAAAACTACGGAAATTCAGCCGAACCGTGGATTTGCATATCGACTGCTTCAGAAGTTGCGAAATCGCTGTCACTTTGCTGAGGCGCAAGCAAGGCTGCTGCGGAAACGCAGGGGTTGATGAAACTGAATGGGAGGCTCCACGGCAGCAAGTGTACTTCCGATGATACGCAGCTAGTGAATGTCTCGACTACTCCATGTGATTGTCAGTGGAACCGCCGACGAGGGTCTTCTACGCAGGCTAGGCCCAACGGGACAAAGATCAGAATCTCAGAACGGTTCGCACGCCCGCGGCATCATCGAAGTTGTCGAACACATCATTGATGTTCTCGAAGGACTCTTCGCGCGTGATGTAATCCTGGGCAGCAGGACGTGAGCAATCGAGGGCACTTCCGGCTTGGCACCCTCAAACTTGTCTGCAAGCTGGAAGCATCCACTTGCAACTCCCCAGCCATGTAGAGGTCCTGGTCTGGGCCAGAAATGGCAGGGAGTCGTAAACAAAACGACTTCTTCGAGTGTTGACGGTAAATCGTCACTGGTCTGGGGAACGACGCGAGCCAACTTTATCTTCGCTGAGCATACACGGCGGCTGAGGAAAAGACCACCAGCAGGGGGATCTGCGGCTTTGAGCGCCAACCTGCCACAAAACAGACTGAAGGCTGCCGGTGCAGTTGGACGCTTAGGTAAGCAAAAGGCTTGGGCATCCAAAATGCCATTTCCGCATATGTCGCAGGCAGCAACGGAAGCCATCCATCTACCCGCCCACAAACTTGTTGCTCAAGGTCCGAATCCTTGAGATCCGAGTCTCCAAATCCTGACTCCTCAGATTCGGATCTCCAAACCTTGATTCCTCGGTGCGCCCATCTCCCCCAGCCAATCCTCCGAAGGTGACGCTGTTGAGACCCCCTGGCGGCGGCCAGGCTGACCGGAGGAGCACGTCAGGACCTAGGAAGCAGCCATGTGGCTTTGGAAAGGACTCAGAGGGTCTTGTTTCAGGAGCGGGTTTCTCCAGAGCTTCCTGCAAACGCTGGTCATGTCTACTGCCTCTTAGACGCCTTCCAAGACGGACCAGCCCGTCGTCTAGACCGATACTGCTCCGTCTGGCTGTCCGAAGCGATGCTCGAGGTAAGTGTGGAGGTTCTTGATCCCACACAGAATCTGCTTCTCACTGAGTCTCCGGCCATGCGGCGTACCCACCGTCACGCATTTGCCCCACTCCTTCACGACCTGGGAGTTTCCAAAAGCTAGGGTACCTTATTTTGGGGTCCTTATAATAAGGGTCCTACTATTTAGGGTACGATCTGGGTAGTTCTCTACATTAGGGTCCCTTTCTGGGTCCCCAATGTAGTACGGCACCCTTATGAAAAGGGACCCCAAAAGGGACCCTAATTTAGAAAACTACCCATAGTAGGGTCCCGATTTTCGGAAACTCTAAGGTAACTATACTTATAACCCCAATTAGGGGACTTATAATTAGGGTCCCCGATTTTCGGAAGCTCCCACCTCTAAGACCGACGGTGCCAACTCCAGGTCTCCCCGGCAGTCGAAGGCAAAGTCGGCGGTGGATCCCTTGGGGCTGGCAGATATGGGTGGTTGTCAAAATTATGGTCCCTTTTGGTCCCTTTTTAAATTATGGTCCCTTTTTTGGGTCCTTATTATAATACGGCCACTTATTATTTAGGGTACCCCAAAAGGGACCATAATTTTGACAACTACCCATATGGAAGACGACATGGCGACTGCAATGACCACTGTAGCTGCAAAGATCACGAACACTTTCGACCTTTCTTCCAAGTTGCAATGAGCTTTAGGATCTCATCCTGCGCCAGCAGTGAGCAACAGCTCCGGGAGGCACGGGCCAGCACATTTTCTTCCAAGGGTCCTTGATGCTGACCCCCTCCGGCAGAGAATACGGATTCAGGAGGCTGGTTGCACCCCATTTTTGGGCCATGTCCTGGGCTGTAGCAGCATATCTGTACTTCTACACAAGAGAGACTTTTAGAAGAGGCAGGAAAGCTCCCAAGAGCCGAGGCCGCGACGAGCCTCGAAGAATACGGATCCACTGCCACAATCCTTGAGACTCTGCGACGCTACACTTACAAGCTGGCTCTTGATGTGGTTGGTCTAATAATGATTTCGGGGGCTCCTTATTCTAATTATAGTATAATGGGCCCCAAAACCCTATCCTAATTATTAAGGCCGCTACATTACATAACGGACTCTGAGGAGTAGGGTCGGCGGTTTCGGATCCCTTCGGCGCTCTTAGTGCTGCCCTCTGCTGCTCCCGGATTCGGAGCTTAGGAAGCTGCCCGTTGGCTGCTCCTATGCCAGACTCCAGACTTCGAGTCTTGGACCACAGCCTCAAGACCTGTAAGCCTCAAAGGCCCAAAGCCCACAACAATTCAACCTGAATTCGCCATGACTTGCCTCTGCCAAGCCGCTTCCCAGCCCCTGCTTTCACCAGCGCAGCAATCACGGCCAAGCCTTCGGCCTGCACCCGGTACTTGGAAGCTGGGTGACGTGGCAAGTCTACTTACCATCCGTTGCCCTATCTACCAGTACAACCCCAGAGGGAGGTTTGCCGATGGCATTCCTCCTGCATCACTGCAACAGTTCCGAGTTTCTTTTTTTGTAGCCATCCCTGTTTAATTTATGTAGGGGCATTAATAATTAGATAGGGTTTTGGGGCCCATTATACTATAGTTATGATAAGAAGCCCCCAAGGTAATTATTAAGGCCACTATATTATCTGGCGAGGAGGGCCCTACATTCTCACCGCCTGCGCGCCAAAGACGACAGCGGACGCACCCCGCTGTACACGGCCGACATTCCAGACCTGAGGTGATCAGCGCTTCAACAAGGGGCGCAATTCGACAAATTGGAGTGAGCCCAGAAGGTTGCTTCCTGCATTCTTCCTCCGATCTCGACCGACAATGAAAGCACTAGATGATTTTACTAGATGCACGACATTGCTAGACTCTAGCAAGACAGAACACCGCGAGGTTTGCCGTCGAATTTTGCACCCTTCTGAATTCTGACTTGCTTCACTTGGGTTGTGATGTGATGGGTTGTGGTTGTTGTCGTTAGGTTGATTGTGGTGTGTCACGGTTGGTGGTGGTAGTGGTGGTGGTTGGGGTGGGGCGGCGCTGGTGGTCGTGCTGGTGGTGGTGCTGGTGGGGATGGTGGTGGGGATGGTGGGGGTGGCGGCGTGCGGGGGCGGCGGTGGCGGTTGCTGCTGCTGTTGCTTGCACCTGTGTTGTTGTGCTGGGGTAGTGCTTATTGTGGCTAGCACCATGCCAACTCTCAGACACATCATGCATATTTGGTATATTTGCCTTCACTGCCAGGACTAGAGTTCTGTTTTGCCCAACAGCCAAACTGCCCTCTCCGCTACAGCCTTGTTAGACGTTTCTGCTCCTCGCGATGACCATCGACCCCCATTCTGGACCCCAAGCTTCGCACTGCAGACTTGGAAAGTCTTTCCTCGACAATGATTATGATCTCGATTGTTAATTCAAACATGATGCCGCAGGTCAGCTGCAAGTTGACAGGCTGCTACTGCATGCATCTCGCCAGTTTTATGTTTTCCCGTATCTCTAAACCCTATACACCCCCTAAACGCTATAAGCCCCAAGCCCTAAACCCTGAGCCCCAAACCCTATAAACCCTAAAGCCTAAACCCTGAGCCCTAAACCCCGATAAACCCTAAACCCTATAAAACCCTAAACCCCGATAAACCCGAAACCCACCCTGACCTCTGGTCTGCTGTCAAAAAGCAGCTCCAAGAGCGGCGGCCACCCCGCCTCCGAGGAGCCCAAGGTAAGCCAAGGGCGCATCCTGCCGCAGACGTCTCAGAATTCCAAAAATGACTCTTTAGGGTTCCTGGATATGCTTCTGCCATTCTATACTATGCCATACTGTGCTTTGCTATACTATACTAATTACACCATACTATACTCTATAATACACTATACTACACTATAATACACTACACTACACTATACTACACTATACTATACTACACTATACTATACGGTACTGTACTGTACTGTACTCTACTATGCTATACTATACTTTTCTATACTATACGTACTGTTTGTCAGGATGTGGCTCCAAGCTGTCAGCATCGCGTCCCGCATGATGTCAGATGCTCGAATTGGTGTCGATGTTCAGTGGAACTGCACAGTTGTAATCGCTAACAGTGATGTTAGGCAAGCATCGAAGGATTGTCAAAGCTAACCCAACGATATCTTTTCCATTTGTGGACTCGAAGCTTGTTGCCTTGGAACATAACACGTCGAACTCACAGTCAATGGTTGCCTTTCCGGTTGACACTGCTGAAAACCTCCATGTCAAGCATTGTTGGGCGCAGCTTCTCTACACAGACGGAATGCTGTGATCATAACGGCATCTACGGATGGCTCGGGGCAAGCAAAGCAAGTATTTCGGCCTACAAGCCGTTTCTGGAGCGCCGGAGTGGCTCTTGACTGCAGAGTTCGTAAGCTCGCACCGCGCCTTGCGCACCTTGATGAGGGAGTGCGCGTGAACTACGCTGTACTCCTTGGGCAGAGGATGCCAAACTGCCAAACTGCTGCTCCTGTTCTTGCCATCAGGGAGACACTCAGTAGTAGGCTGGCTATTCTCATCCTTCTTTCGAGTATCAACGACTGGCCATGCCACTTATACCTGAACCGTGACTCAGGGCCGATCCGAGAAGGCGCTGGTGCCTTTGAAGTGGTAGACCTCCGTGCTCCCGTAGGAGAACCGGGGCCGGCTATCGGCCACCATCACCCCACGGCCTCGGATCGGAGCCTAAGCGTAGAAGTAGAACCGACAAAGCCTAACAAAACCGCTTCCTTGCATGGCTTGAACAAGTCCGGGCTGCTGGTCGCGTGATGGACGGAGTCGCAGAAGTTTGACTCCTTGGTCACTCTGGCCGTGGTGATACTGTTCGTGATTGTTGTGGCGGCAGCAGCAACAGTACTAGGAGCAGCAGCACCAGCAGCAGCAGTAAGTAGTGGTAGTCGTCGTGGTCGTCATCGTAGAAGTAGAGTGGTGGTACTGTAGTGGCAGAAGTGGAAGGGTGGTAGTACTGGTGGCCAGGGTAGCAGTGGTGGCAATGGTAGTATTCGCCATCGTCGTCCTAGTAGTACTAGTATTGTGATAACAGCTGCTGTAGCAATCCCAAAACCGACCTCTCGTATGCTTAGCCAACAAAATCAAGTAAGTATCACAGAACAGCACTCATGCTCCGATGGCACGAGGAGGCAACAGGTAGCATCATCATTGCAAGCTGGGGTCTGCCGCTTTGCACCCCCCACATTCGCCACAGTGTGCGTGGTAGCACGGTATGACGTGGTCACCAGGTTGAAACTCGACCACGCCCTCGCCTGCAGCAAAAGTAGTAGACTGGAGGGAAACTTGCTGACCCGTGTAAAGCCTGACTTCTCGGGGTCTCATCCAAAGTGGTGGCATGTACTCTTCCGCGACCGACCCCCCCACCCCCCCCCCGGGTTCAGTGCGGACTTGTATTGCTACACTCTAGCCAAGCCCAAGAGCGGGGCCTACGTCCTCCACGACGGCAGAAGACTCCAGGCCAAGGATTCGTGGGTATGGCTTCTCCTGCCCAGGGATCTCTTCGGGGAAACTCTGTATCAACCTAAACCAGAATCTGACCTTCGAGAGTTTGGGTTGCGGTTAGTTACCGCCTCTTAATATCGAGACAGGTCCATGTGATAAGAGAAGAGCCCACCATATGGAGATTAAAGGCGCGCTGCCATCATTCGTGCGATCCCAGTCACTCTTCCCACCGCTCGCCCATTCCTGTTGTCTTTGCTGATACAGCTACGCCTGCTATCAGTTTGTGTTCTTGCCATGCCAGCCCTTGCTGCCTTAATTACGAACCAAGAACTTACCAAGCCATGGTGGCTGCTGACATTCATCTTGAAACTCTAGCTGCTACCTCTCTTGCTACCCATCTCTCATTTCCAATATCCTGTCGTCTGCGCCTTCTCCGCAACAAGATCGACCCGTGAGGGAACTGCAGCCACCTGAGCCCAGCAGCATCGGTGTGTCTTCCGGCTCTGCTGCTCGTAATTCCACCATGAAAAACGAATTAATGAAGGGGCCTTGATAATTAGAATAGGGTTTTGGGGGCTCCTTGTTATCACTATGGTATAATATACCCCCAGACCCTATTCTAATTACAAGCCCCCTATCTTATTCGGACCTGAGGATAGGTGGCTCTCACCTAATCTGTACCAGCACTCAGTTGAGCTCAGCTTTAGGAGTCCCGCTTGAGCTCGGCCCACCCGAAGTCTTGACCCTTCTGTGCTCTGGCCTGGCGCACCCGTACCTCACCAGCCTGCGGCGGCGCCACCTGCGGTTTTCGTATGTTTTGTATGTCAGGTATGGGGCTTCGAAGATTAGGCAGCTTGCGGAGGAAGCCGACAACCATCGCTCTGCGAGACTGGACGAGTAGTGATACAGACCTCCGGTCTCACCTGCCTTCACTTTGACCAGCTGAAGTGCAGTCTCATCCGGGAGGGATACGGCTGCCAACGAGTCCTGAAAAGCGAAGATTGAAACGGCCTGGGCCTGAGCCTGAGCCTTTCGCCCAACTGGTCAGCGGCAGCATCGGCAGTTGTGTTCGCGCCAAGATTCGATCTCCTTCGGGCTGCCGTCAATGATCTGCACAGTTTGCAGAGCATTGGTGGCAGCTTCTTCTACCTGCGCTCGCTGCCCAGGTCAGCAACCACATCTAAGTCTACTTCTCCTATGATTTGATTTTCCCTTTCCGCAACCCTTCCACCCTTCCTGCTGCACCCCGGTTGGCATTGCCGAAATGACAGAGCAGCGGTGTACAACACAGGCAAGGCGTGGACACAGGTCGTGCTTTCTGCCTCCTCGCGCGCTTCTTCGGCGTCCTCTGGCGAAGTCTCGCCTGCGACGCTGACCGCACCCCGACCAGTCACATGTCACGAAATCTAAAAATCTGGGACTCTGCATAGTGAGCCTTCAGGGATCAAGCCCAAGGCTCACCTCTCCGTCTTCTGCGCCCTCGCTTTCACCGGCCTGCATCAGCCAACGTCGACTCCGAAGACTCCTCCGGAGCCAGGATCCACATGCAGGAGCCGGCAGGGCCCCAACATTTAGCTACCGATTTGAGGAGTGGTAGGAGTTGCGAGCCTTCGGCACTTCTTTCAAGTTTCTGGTCGCTTGTAGCTTCGGGGATCATTTGTGTTGTCCTGACTTTCATATGCCACTCCACAAAAAGTAGGTGACGGGAGTGTTTATAGGGAAGGCTCCTTTGCAGAACAACCTGAGTAAGTGTCTGCGACCCGAGCAGCTCTCTAAGTGGTCACTTTCCCATGGATTCTTTGTCCTTCAAAGCAGCGTCGGTCGCTTCATCCGCATTCAGAGTCTCTGGACCATTGGGCCTTCGAGCTATTCCCAGTTTCCCGGTAGCCCCAGGCAAGGCTTCCCTTTGAGCGACCCTCAAGGCGACCAGGCCCAAAAACAACCCACTTGCGGAGGTGTTGGGAAGCGTCAACAAGGGTGTAGGACTGTGCAGGGAGAGGCTCTGGAGCTTTGGTGTAGCCGAGCTTTGTGGGCTTCCCGATGTCAGATGAGTGGGTGTGCCCTATTCTTGGAGGGTCGAGGGATCAGTGAAAGACCACACCACAGTAGCCTCAATTGCTATGCGAACGCCGTACAATGCACCCCTTTCGGCGAAAATCCACTATTGACTTTGGCTCCGCAACCTTACGAGAAGGGCTAGGAAACATACTGCGAAATGTATATGTATGTGTATAATATATATATATATATAGGAGTCCAATTGGAGCAACTCACATGCTCCGACATGTCTGCCGACCGCGTTCTGACCATCTGGGATCTGGGGCAACTCAGGGGAATCTGAAATCTTGGCCTCAGGTGCAACCTTGAGGACCAGAGGACTGTAACACGGTCTTGCCAAGCTCGAAGCAACTCTTCGCCTTCCCACCCCGTTGTGTTTCATTACAGCCAGTATCTTCATGAAGACCTAGGCACACAGCAGAAACCCATAGTTTTGCATCGCCACCAGTCAAAATCAAAATCAACTGCGCCAAGACACTCCTCGGTCAATGTAGGATCCTAGGCACCGCGGATTTTTAGGCTCTGTGGATTCTCAAATGGGAGTTTCCGAAAATGAGGGGTACCATATTTGGGGGCCTTTTACAATAAGGATCCTACTATTTAGGGTACTATATTAACGTCCCCTATTTTCGGAAACCCCCAAATCACTGTAGCACACCGACACCTCCGAGGCAATCATGCTGCAGGCCGCCGAGCTGCTACAGAGTAGACGCTCGGAGCCAGGGATGTCCCTGGATCTGGGCACCATCGCAGCACCCCATTCAAGAAGGAGGCATGGAATTTCAGGTGGTCCTGGATGAAGCCTGAGTCTTGCCAAGGGCAACTCCGAAAACTAAACTGGCTTTCTAAGATACCTTCCTAGTCGTAAGAAGTCACACTTTTCCCGGCAACCAACAAAGCAGTCAGCGCTCACTTGAATCCGATTTCGCACCACCCGACGTCGTTTAACGTTCACCGTGTGCCTAGCCGCTCCTTCCGTGCCGGCACCCGAATTCCCGCGTGAACAGCAGAATCACTATTGGACACGACTCCGCACAGGCTTGCGAACAGGATTGTGTTCTTAGGGTCCAAAACCGGTAGAAGACGTGGGAAGAACTGTGTAGCATGCCGGTCACAGTGAGCGCTGTCTTCTCCACAACAGTGATCTAAGGCCCAAGCTGGAAATGAAGTAGTAGGAATGGTCGTACTCCGACCTCATTGCGCCCAAGCTTTCCGTGCAGCATAGGATGAGTAGTTTAGAGGCCTGACAAGTTGCAACGAACGTTGCTCAGCAGGCTTCAAAGCAACCAGCTGCAGTAGAAATTGACGGGAATGATCTCACTGGGTTCAGGGGCTCATAGGCTGGGAAGGCAATCAAAGCATGTCTTCCGAAGCTGAACTCTTCATGGGCTCCCGAAACCTGGCCCAAATGCCCTGAAATGGAATTGAAACTCGGACATTCCTGTAAGCTGTGTAGAATCTCCATCACCACGTAGGCTAAGCTGTCAGGCACGGGTGACTGCTGCGATGTTACAGGGAGTCTTAACACGAGTGCAGTACTGACACTTTAGGCTCCTGTGCTCAACCCGGGTCCAGCTCAGCTGCTGCATTCGCAGTGTGAGCGGAATGCCCTTCTCGTCGCAAACCTGGAGCGAAGCATGACGGCAATACAAATCTCCCACCGCAAAGCTGCCCTCTGCTGTCATGTACTTTAACTACAGCTCCCGAGATACGAGTAGCAACAACTTTAAAGTCGCAAATTGGTTTAGATTTAAAACAATTCCCTCAGAGCCCGATGGCGCAAGACCCCTAAACCCCAAACCCTAACCAGCCGGAGTACGGCTTTCAGCAGGCCCGGTTTGAGCTGCTCCGAGAGGAACATGTCCGATGTACCTGCACTCTGAGAGGCGTTTCGGGGGGAATTGGGGAGGTTTCCGAGAATAGGGGACCCTAATGTAGTACCCCAAATAATAGGATCCCAAGAAGGTACCTCAACCCTAAACCCTCAAAATAAGGTACAAACCTCAACATGCAGGATCATGCGGGCCTTGATCCACCAGGAGGCGCATTGGTGGACCCCGGTAGCGCCTGCCATGACGAGTAAGGCGCTTTGGGACGCCAGGCCAGCAAACCCCAACGGACCCTCAGCTGGTCCGTGGTCTCGCTTCCCAACTTCCACAAGCTTGATTCTGCGACCAGGGGGGGGGGGGCGGTGGTCTCTTTCGTAACTGAGAGAGGTGGGCATCGGGCCGTTTCAATGATTGATCGAGCGCTCCCGTGGTGTGTTCCCATCGTGCACGCCTGCAGAACCAAATGCCCACCACAAGCGAAGATCTGAAGCGGAAGATGTGCATGGGCTGACACATGCACACGCTAGAGTTAAAAAGGGCAAACCGCTGGTGCCCTCCTGCCTGCGTGCATCACGAGGAAAGAGGGAGGGAGAAAAGAGAATGCCAATATCAAGGAAGGAAGGAGAATGAATGAATGAATGAATGAATGATGAATGAATGAATGAATGAATGAATGAATGAATGAATGAATGAATGAATGAATGAATGAAAGAACAAACGAAGCCCAGAAACCAGCGAACGAATGGTTGCATGAATGTATGAATGCATGAAAGCATGAATGTATGAATGAATGGATGAAAAACGAATGAATGAAACAGAAAAGAAAGAAAGTATCACTGAATACATGTATAGAGGATAGATTGAACGAAAGAAGGAAGCAATGAATCAAGGAATAGAAGAATGAAGAAAGGAATTCACCAATGAATGAATCAATGAATGAATCGATGGATGAATGACAAAAATGAACTAACGAATGAAAGATTTAATGGATGAGCGGAAGAATGAACGAACGAACGAACGAACGAACGAGGGATTGAGTGCATGCGTGGGTGGGTGGATGGACGGATAGATGGATGTATGGATGGATAGATGGATGGATGGATCGATGGATGGATGAATGCATCAGTGAACAACAGCAAGTGTGCGTATGTAAGCACCCACATATGGTGCCGGCATAGAAGTAGAAAGCATGCATAAGCCTATCTCGAGCAAGGGCATCGAAGCCTCAACTTCCTTGCTTCCTTTATTCGAACCCGCTCTGGCGGAGTGCTTCCGTCCCTTTCAGAACTTCCCCGAGCAGCTACCAAAGCCCCAAGACATGGATGCCGAAGAAACCTTGAACCGCAAACACGAGGAAGCTATCTGTGTTGAAACCTTGCGGTGGCCGTGAACTTTGCGTTAAGACAATGTGCACCCATGGTTTTTCATGTAGACCCGACGTTGTCAATCCTTACAACACAGACCCTAATCAAGTACCCCAAATTTCAACCAAATGCAAAACCCTGTCCGAACCCATCCTCAGAAGTTCCACCGCATCGTTGTCGGCCCAGGCAGCTTTGTCCTCGCCTAGGATTCCGGAAATTCCGATCATGGTCTTGCAATGTTGCACTGACCGTGGGGGTGAACACGGTGCATACACAATCGATGTATATAAATACATCTATATACATATATATATATATATACACACACGTAAATATGTGTACATATATATATATATATATGCATGTACACATACATCTCTCTCGCTCCTTCTATCATTCTATCTGTTCGTTCTTCCTTTTTTCTTCGTGGGCTCGGCGTGTCAGAAAAAGGCACCCAGAAGCGTGCCTTCAATTTAGGCGGTTTTAGAGGGCGTCGGTTACTCGGCTACCAGCGTGACTGGTCTCGCAGAACCCAGTCACGGGGAAAGCCAGACCCAAATGCAAGCGCCTCGACTCGAGCTGGCATCCCAGATCAATGACTACAGTACGGCGTCCCCTGCGGCACACTGAGCAAGGCCCCGCAAAAAGGCTAAACCACAGTACACAGGAGAAATGGGGTGTCCAGCAGTCTCTGGTCCTGTAAGTAAGTTGAAACTCAGCAGCCGTAAAGGTATGGAAAGATACTGAAGCAGATGAAGGTGCGGCAAGCACGGGCCACAATAACAGCAACATTGGGCATCATGACGAAATTGTTGGAGTTGAGTAGGCAAAAAACAATGTATGGGAGTTCACATGACCACGAGCCTGACTTTCGAATGAATGTTGCACAAACTTACAGTGTGGAACAAACCAGCATCACTGTCCACGCAAGCTATCGATGGCGATCTCGGCAGAAGGCTGCTGCTGCACGGGCTACACCACCACTGGCCGGTGAAAAACAGCCCCGTGAGCTGATGCCTTCCTGTTGCCAACTGTCAATCCTGCTTGTTTTCGCCACAGAGCTTGCATCCGTGCCGGCTGAGGCTAAGGTCTCGTAGTGCATCCCGGTATCGAAAACCCGCAAAAAGAAACAGAAGCACCGGCAAGAATCTTCAACGCACCTGACAAGCCTCCTGCCAAATCTCGTACGAGCTTATGTAATCCTCAGAAACCTGCCTCGGCCTTTCTTAGTAGGCCGACATGACCTTCTCGGGCACCAGAACGACGCGGAAAAGCCGCACATTTTCATAGCCGGGAGGCCGAAGTAAAGGTTGAATGCCTTCTGCCCCCACGGCGCTTCGGAGGGGTTCCTCACACCAGGAAACTGCCAGATGTGATAGCGACGGGACTGTCAGCTCTGGCAAGGATGAAGGCGATGATGCTGAGGACGCGGACGACGACGATTGTGGCGATGATAGTGATGATCATGATGGCTACATTGAGAGATAACATGAGGACTCAGTGCAGCCAGGCATCGAGATGGGTGCAAAGGCTGAAACAGACCGGTACATGCCGGGGTTCTTCCTCAGCGGATTTCATCTTGCACTTCCAACCATTGTTTGCCAACAAACGCCGGCCACATCTCTAACGAACAAGGCCTTGATCTCAAACACGCTTTACACTCAGCTCACTGCACCTTGGCAAAACATGTTCTGCAAGACTCTTCGGCAACGCGCACCCTGAGGCGACGGCAAAGCTGCCACGAGAGCGCCGTGACCACCCATGGAGTGACCCATGATGCCCAGCTTCTCAGGAAGAAGCCTCATGAATGAGGCATGGGAATGCTGAATGTAGCGGATTCGTATTTGAGGCTCGGAATTGAGAATGGATCTTAGGCCCCTGGGCCCCGCACTTGGCAGACACACGTGTGCTTGCTTGCATACACAGGTACAGAGGTACAGACCTATACATACAAGCACATGTGAGCATAAATGAAGACACTTGGACGGAGACATACCTACGTAGCTACCGGCCTAAGTGCACTACGTACCTACCTACCTACCTACCTGCCTGCCTGCCTGCCTGCCTGCCTGCCTGCCTGCCTGCCTGCCTGCCTGCCTACCTACATCGTCAAGATGCTGCAAGCATGCATGTACAATCACATGAGTTCAAGCATACGTGCATACCTCTCTCTCTCTCTCTATATATATATATATATGTAATACAAAGTATATGTGTATATATGCGCATATACATACAGGTATGTATATATTTCTTAATATACATATCACACCTACATATCTACATGCATAGTTGCTTACATATCTATTTCTAAAGGCTTCACCTACATATTCACGCACCTGACATGCACTTGTATGCCTCTAACAGGTGTATGACAGCCCTGCCATCTGACTCAGCAAACCCATCTGTTGCCAAACCGATGGTTCGACTTTCCCTTTCGAGAAACTGCAAAGACCCAAACATAGTAGAAGTACCACCTTCTACAACGAACCTCTGCCGGCTGACACCTGAAACTTGAAACCCCGAAACCCGCATCGGAGCTGCGAGATCCCTAGCGCGAACCAAGAATTTGTCAGTCAGGAAGCGGCAGCTTTGCACCTAGAGCGCTGGGCAGCTCCTCTATACTATAGCCGATTTGGATTGGGAGTTGTGGGATGCAGGGTGGACTACAAGAACCAAGTGCAAGGGTGCTTGCCTTCGCTTCTCAAATACTCTAGTAAGTGTTGATCCGCTAGTCCCTTTTGAGCGGCTTGCTTCTGTTTCCCAAATGCTCTAATCCCTCTTGATCGGTTCCATCCTGTTTCTCAAATAACCTAGTCCTTTTCGAGCGGATTCCCCTTACGACTCGAATGCTCTAGTCCCTTTGAGCGGTTTGTTTGTGTTTTCTGACGTAGTCTAATTCCTTGCGAGCGGTTTGTGCCTGCTTTCCAAATATTTTGATCCGTTTTGTGCGGGTTTGCTGTTGTTCTTGAAAAACTCGAACTTGTTTGTTTCCCAAATACTCGTCCTTTTCCGTTTGCTCTTATTTCTCAATACTCTAGTGCATGTCGAACGTTTTGATCCGTGTTGCTCAGATACTGTCGCCTTTGGAGGGGTTTGCGCCTGCTTCTCAACGACTGTAGCTCCTTTCGGGCTGTTTGCTCCCTTTTTCTAAACTAGAGCTCGGGGCACCAGGCTGTACAGAAATCAAAGCTTTGGAGAAAGAATGTGGGAGCCAAGAAGTGGCCGTTGCTTGTCATGGTTTCAACCATGCTTAGCATAGTCCAGGCGTTGCCCGGTTGAAGGCTCGGACGTTGCCCGGCCCGTGTGTAAAAGATGAATTGCACCAGCATAAATCCACATCACTACGTTTGTACCAAGACTCAGGGTGGCCAGGCCGGATACATCCTCATACCGTGGCTGGAAGGCCTCACTCCGAAGAGTAGGACTACAGTGCTACCACAACAACAACTACAAACCTACAAGGTGTTTAAAGTTCTGAACGCCTACTACACTACAAAGATACAGAAGTTTCAATGTGGGTGTTCGCATGACAAGCTTATAGTGTCCTTGGCATTCACAAAGCCTGCAATGCAAAGATACAGAAGTTTCAGGGTGGACGTTCGCGTTACAAACTTATGGTGTGCTTAAGAGTTCAAAACGCCTGACAAAGACACGGAAATTGTAAGGGCGAACCGTCACGTTATGAATTAACAGTGTCCGTAAAGTTCACAAGATCTACAACACAAAGATACAAAAATGTGGTGGACGTTCGCGTTACAAACGTAAAGTGTCCTTAAAGTTTACAACTTACTAATTACAACACACAAAAATCAAGATTTTTCGGGATGGACGTTCGCGTTACAAACTTGTCGTGTCCTCAAAGTACAATACAAAGATAGAGAAATTGCGGGGACGTTCGCGTTCTACGGTTCACAACGCCTACAATACAAAGATACAGAATTTTCAGGGTCGGCGTTCGCGACACAGACCTATCGTGTCCTGAAAGTTCGCAATGCCACAATACAAAGATACAGAAAGTTTAAGGTGGATGTTCACATTGCAAGTTGCGTCGAGTCCTTCCAGTTCACAACACCTACGGCCTACAATGCAAAGATAGAACAATTTCAAGGTGGACCTTCGCGATACAAACATATGGTGTCCTTGAAGTTCACAACGCCTACAACACAAAGAAACGGAAATTTCAGGGTGGAGCTTCGCGTTGCAAACTCATAGTGTCCGTAAGGTTCACAATGCCTCAAATACATAGAATACAGAAAATTCAGGGTGGAAGTTCGTGATACAAACGGTTAATGTCCTTAAAGTTCACAACGCCTGGGAATACAAAGAAACAGAAATTTCAGGGTGGACGGGACATGTGCGGCACAACTTGTAGCGTCCTTCAACTTCATGATGCCTACAATACAAAGACGCCGCAATAAGGTGGACGTTCACACTTCAAAAAGACACTATCCTGACCATGCACAGCGGCTACAATACCAAGATACAGATATTTCAGGGTGGACGATCTCGCTACAAACTTATACTGTCTTTACGGTTCACAACGCCTACGATACAAAGATACAGAAGTTTCAGTGCAACCACCGGCAAATTCAAGGTGGATATGGTGGATGTTTGCGTTACAAATTTATGATGTACTTGAAGTTCACAACGATTTACAATACAAGGATACAGAAATTTCTCCGTGGGTGTTCGCATTGCAAACTTCCAGTGTGATTAAAGCTCACAACCCCTGCAATACCAAGATACAGAAAGTGAAGGGTGGACGTTCGCGTTACAAACTTAAAATGTCCTTCAAATTCACAACGTGGACATACAGAGATTTCAGGGTGGACGTTCACGTAACAATCTTTTAGTGTGCTTAAATTCACAAGACCTACAATAATTACAAAGATGCAGAAACTTCATCTTGGAAGTTTGCCTTACAATTTGTTTTAGTGTTTTCATCTCAACCACAACGCCTACAACACCAGAAATTTCAGGGTGGACCTTCGCGTTGCAAACTGAAAACCTCCTTAAAGTTCACAGTGCCTTCAATACAAAGATGCAGGGTGGACTTTCGCATTACAAACTTGTCGTGTCCTCAAAGTTCACAACGCCTACAACACACAAATTTCGGGGTAGACGTTCGCGTTACAAACTTATGGTGTCCTTAAAGCTCACAACGCCTGCCATACAAACATAGAACAATTTCAGGTTTTAATGTAAAGAAGAGAAAGCAAGAATAAAGGGAAAACGAAAGAAATAAGCACGAACGCCAAAAGACCCAGATAAATGTAATGGAATATTAGGTCATATTGTGCCACTAGAAGTGACCTACAAGATCTCATTATATTGTAAGAGGAAAGTTAGTTGTCTTCCAATGATAAAGTCTAGGTCAACCTTAATGACAGATCTGAGTCACCAGAAATGGCTTATGAGTTACCATTATTTATGACCTGGACATCTAGTTGGGATTAGGTGACAAGTCTTAGGTCAATTCCTTTGATAAGATTCTACAACTAACTTTTACCTATCATGAAAGACCTAATTTTAATTGGTATTTT